AGCTATGAGCCAATGCAGGCTGCCGCTAGTGCCAGGCCTGGGACCACTTATCCAGCTGTATGGGGCCCGCTGCGGCTTGTTTGAGAGATTTTAGTAAAGTCCTAAGCATAAGACTCGAGAGGTCACTTGCATAGAAAAGCCCCTGGAAATGGCCTGGATGGGCTGGAGGTGGGGAGGGGCGGGGCCTCCGGGAATCACTGGGGTGGGGCCAAAGGTGTGAGTCTGGTGCTGGGGATTCAAATATGATGCCTGCCTGCCAGCTGTGTGAGGGGAGGACTCACCTAAGGAGCAATGGCCTCTGCCAGCCCTTCTGCCTGGGAGGAAGCTGCCCCTCCAGCTCTCGCCCCGATTTCAGGCAGGTTAGTTCCTCCCCAAGTGTCCCAGGTCCTTTCAAGCTGCTGCCCGGCGCTGGCTCAGAGGGAGTGTATCTGAGTGAGTCCGCGCGCGGGCCCTTTAAGAGGAGCTGCTGGGGCTCCCGCAGCCTCTGTGACCCTCAGCCACAGTTCCCACTGTTTTTCACAGCCTGAAGGTGTGGGGACATCTCTTCCCGGCCCTGGAGCCCTGGGCTGGGGGCCCGATGTGGGGCTGGGGCCCCTCACTCTTTTGGGAAACCTCTGCCACAGAGATCTCCCTCACGGGTTTACCTGCGACACGGGGTGTGGGACCTGGCCGTGTCTCCGGGATTCAGCCCCGCCCCGCCCGCGTCTCCCCCCCTTCTGGTCTCGGTGCGTCTTCAGTTCCCTGGTTGTGGGGCTTCTGTTCAGCTAGATTTCAGGAGGCTCTGAGTGCTGGTGGTTCTGTATTTTAGTTGTAATTTTGATGTGGTTGTGGGAGGCGGCAGGTACAGCTGTGACCTACGCCCCCATCTTATTTCTTGTCACCTTTTTCTTTCTGAATGTTCCTTCTTTTACTTTATTTTCTCCTTCAAATGGGAGATAAAACATCGGGACCCCATTCCAGCAGCCTTATTCAACTTTCACTAACTTTGGAGATTGTGGTTATGGAATAAAAGTGAGTTTCATTACAACATGCTTTAGTAGGTACCCTTTTAAGTATAAGTTGTAGAAAGCCACTGCTTTTGTTTTTAAGCAGAAAGTGATAATGGTGAGAATTTATGGCTTATATAATAAGGTGGGTGCTATAATATTAGGTACAGGTTGAACGTCAAGAATAAAGGACTTACTCCTCTGCTGTCAGCACCTACAGGGATTGTCTTAGTGAAGAGAACCATTGTCCAAGATAATTCAGAGGCATCCCAGCTATAGGTTTTCCCACAGTATTGTTCAAGCTTTATTGTGACCATATGATAATTCCACTTCTCCTTCTGCTTTCTTATCTTCATTTTCCACAGGTGTTTACCTCCAAAGGCACCCTCTAATAAATCTCCTGAACACTAATCTCCATCTAAGAGTCTACTCCCCAAGAAACCCAATCTGTGAGAATAATTGAAATATCCAAGTACTTCAGGCAAATCAGACCTGAGAATTCAAACATTGTCATCATATTTGTCTCCAAACCTCTCCATCTTTCCCCGGCTACTGATTGGATTTTGTTTGTGTTGGAATAATTCTTATGCATTTTCTTAGCATAAAGTAGTAAAGATGATCTATGGCAACAGCAGGCATGTATCCCTGACAAACAGAGAAAAGCTTCACCCTCTCTCTGCCAACATTCCTAACAACTCATTCCTCATGCAAATAACTCTAATTGGCCTTGTTTGGGTCAAGTGCCCACCCATGGGACGATCACTGTATCCAGTGAGATGAGTCCTTCCACTGGTCATTCTTAGGCAAGGAAAGTAGGGTCACATAACTCATAGAAGCATGGAAAGAACAGAATGTACAATAGAGATGAAAGGAACATAAATCCATTTTCTTCATCACCAGGAACAAGGTTCATTGAGAATATTGGTGTAGTTACAACCTCTCTTTCTTCAGCAATTTCACACATCCTCCATGGAATAAATTAGTAACCTGATGTTTTAATTTGAGAAGTCAAGAAGGGATTATATTCAGATGCAAAGTCAGGGAATTTCCTGGAAACTTGGGTTTGCTTCTCCCTTTTTATCCCCGCCAGAGGTATTTAAGATTTCAATCACAAGCTGCAGGATGTTGATCCTTACTGCCACCTGGAAAGGGTCAGTACTTCCTTACATTCACCCCAGTCTCACTTGACACTAACTGCTTAGGAGACAATGGAAGCCAAATTAACTGGAAAGATAAATCATTAGCTAATGCATTGAGGTTCAATATTCTTCACTCTGCATGTCCAGTCAATACCAGTCAACCAATACCTGTTTCTCTTTTATCCAACTTTGCCTGTCTTCCTAAGAGCAGTGTACATTATGATTTGCCATTTGCTAGAACAGAGTTCCCAAAAGGGAGGGTGCTTTCCATAAGAGAAAGATTTTACTTTTCATTGCAACTGATCTCTCTTCCTCCAGCTGTGAAACTGATTGAGGTTCTTAAAGCTCTCAAGCAATCTCTACTCACAGCCCTGTGATTACTTTTATAAAGAAAAAAAAAAAAAAGCAATAAGAGAGAATGGTTGATTACCCACAGCAAATATTCTTTTTTTTAAAATTTTTCTTCTCAAATTGTGGAGGGGAAAGAAGTTGGAAAACGTTCCAGAAATAGGTTTATTATGTGAAACAAGGAACATTATTTCCTAGTATATGAGTATTCATGGTTCCCTTCCCATTGCTTCTCCAGCAGAGCGCAGGTCTCAGGATAGAGATGAAAAAATGTGGGAGAGACTTGAAGATCTGGATAGGATAAGAGGAGATTGATCAGTGGTCTGGAAAGAGAAAAAAGGGAAGAAGTAGAGAGGAGAAGACTTTGATAAGTTTCAAAGAGCTCAGTGGAGCAGTAGTCATCCCTATGAAAAGAGTTCGAGAGTGCCCTAGATAGGGAAAGCAGATTTTTAAGGTGTTTTGTTTCTCATTAGACATATATGCCTCACTTCTTTAATTACATGAGAAAATGAGTACGTAACTGAATTACTTTTTGTTTCAGGCAAAGTACAGTCAGAAAACAGAAGCCATCATATTTCGACAGAGGGAATTTCACACCAGCAATTTGTTACATGGATGATGCGAAAGTGGAGAATCCCAACGTGGGTATAGAGGCAATAAATATTAACAACTACAGGAAGTGGTTACAACCCTTACTCAATCCCAGGAGCCAGTACCATCTGGAAGGAACTAGAACTAGAGTGGCGATGGCCTGCAGGAGCTTATGCTACAGAGGGAAAGGCTGACTGGTGGGAGCTGAGGCCTCAGTGAAAATGCAGCCACTCCAGAGATGCCACTTGAAGCAGAAAGCCAGGGGAAGAAACACTCTGACTTCTCTCCTGCTTCTCATCCTCCAGTTGGGCTGAACATATCAGAAGCCAGAGGCTAGGAGCCTGACAAATACAATTCTCTCTGAAACAGAGCAGAGCAAGGAAAGGGTGGAGAATAGATATCAGAGAAGACACAAATAACTGGGGCATGTTTTGAATGTCTGTGTTTCTTTGAATTAATCTGTGTGGAACAGAAGCATGAAGCCAATAGTCCTTTATGTGAGTTACATATTATCCAAGAACAATGGAGAAGGTCACATTTGAGTATCTTTCTTTAAATACTAAAAAATAAATAATAATATTACTTTACTAATTGTCATAATTCTGGAGGCTGTCTCAAGCTGTTCAAAGACAACGACCAAAAGATATCATGCCTCCCCTTCTCTTTTTACTTCCCTCATTCCCTTTTGTTCTTCCATTTTTTTCTCTTACCTTTCTAATAAATATAGCTCTTGTACAACCTCCTTTGTGCAATTAGTCAAATTTGATCTCATAGTGGGGTTGCCATCCTACCATCCTGTTCCTTTCATGTTCTAAAGATTGGGTAGTAGTCAGGGAAAAATGCTAAATCTGGCTTTTGGCATCTATCACATCTGACCTACTTTTGTTCTAACCCTGTTTACATACCTGACCTAGAGGATGTCATATCTGCTTGGAAATACTATAATCCTAACATTTTGGTATACTTGTTATATTTTCATTTCCTATACTTGGAGTGATTTTGGATGGGGATGGCACAGTCAGGCTTTTTGTCTGGTAACACAGTTAAAAATATAACCAATCTGCTTGTGTTTCAAATCCCAGCTCCACTATTTCTTAACTGTGTGACATTTTTTAAAATAATGTCTTTATTGATTTCAGAGAGAGGAAGGGAAAGGGAGAGAGAGAGATAGAAACATCAATGATGAGAGAATCATAATTGATCGGCTGCCTCCTGCACGCCCCCAATAGGGGATCAAGCCCACAACCTGGGCATGTGCCTGGATCTTAGGTCGATGCTCAACTGCTGAGCCACACCCTGCAGGGCTTAACTGTGTGAACTTGGCTAAGTAACTTAACTGCTCTGGGTCTCAGGTTCCTCATCTGTAAATGTAATCATAATAATAGGACCTACATTATACGGCTTGAGTTATTACAATCAAATGAATTATACATGCTGAATTAATATATATGTGTGTATACACACACGTATATGTATCAACACATATGCACATATATATGTATATGTATGTATGTATAAACATATATGTATCTTAGAAAATTGGCACAAATGTAAGTGTTCTATAAATATCAACAATCATTATTGTTATTATTTTTCTCAACTGAAAATGCTGCTCTGGCCTGTCAAAATATATCACACCTATTTAATGCTTTTTTTACCCAGCGTGAAGACATGATTAGTTGGTGACGTTTTAAAAATTTCTAGTTGTTAACTGATTAGTCAAAAAGTTAATTCACAGTGTAAAATACATCCTATGAATTACAGTTATTTGTCTCTCAGTTGTAGAAATTAGTTTCATTCCTATCCCATTATGTTGAGTTGCGATTGGATCATTACAGATCTTTTTTCTGTAGTTTTTTGTGGTTTAAATTTTTTTTTTATGAAAATAAGCTTTTCAGTTGACCAATGATTAGCTAATTTCTGATTGTGGAAAAGGAAACTGGTTGCCCCAAAGCGCTATTTTCATTTCCTCATGGGAGATAGAAGCATAGCAGAGAAGAAAGGCAGACACGAAGCACTGAGCCTCTGCCACCATGGGGAACTGGGCTGTGAATGAGGGTCTCTCCATCTTTGTCATTGTAAGTACCAATGAGAGATATATTATGAATTCTCTGACTTGTCTGAATTTTCTTGGGCACTAAAGTAGAGCAAAGCTTTCTTGTTCATTTTATTTCTTTGATAAATTGTGCCGAAACGGATGTACTGTGTAAACATGCATCCATTTGTGAATTGGCTGAGTCCATTCTTCCAAATTTACTTTTGGAAAGAATGTAACTATGGGCTCCCTTCACCTAGTTTATTTCTTGAGTTTTTCAGAGTACTCGTTTATCCAGCATTTCACACAGAGAGTAGAAGACATTTCAGGCTAATGATCACTGACTTTGAGTTGTTTATTAATGTTTACTCCGAAGGAAAATTTCTACTTCTTATGTGTTTATACCACTTTAAAAACGGGCAATTGAAATTTTACATCACTTTCTAAGTAACAAGAGCAAGACTGGCTCATGTGTGGAAAATTGGCCTTTATTTCAGTAATTACAACAAAAATGATTGACATTCTCACCTATGTTTTTTTTTAAAAAGTGCCTTCTTATTTCTGAGGTAAATTGAGTTATAAGGTTTATAAAAATTTAAGGAAAGAGAATTGAAATTAAATATCTAGACTCATATATGCAGTGTGTATATATATGTCTATATAACATATATTATATATAATTATATATTTAAATCAATTTTATCTTGAGAAACAATTTTTGTAAGTAAAGATATGGCTAATTTTCAAATAGACATGTTAATTTCTTTAGTTTTTAACATAGCAAAGATCAACTATTATTTTATGATGGTGGTCTCGGCAAAGCGATCATGGACAACTGGGAAGATAGAAATGTGATTCATGACTAACATTTCCAAATACCCAATGAAAGCATTATATAGATATTAAAAAGAACTCATAACTGAACTTTTGAAAAAATTTATCATGAATATTGAGTCTGAGTTTTTGAGGTAGAGAGAAATTAATGGCACAAATATAATTGAAACAACAAATATTTTGTCATTTAAAAAATATGCCAAACCAACATTCTAATGCATATAGAATTCTTCTGAGGACTCAGAGCTGTTAACCTAAGTTACCACCATTTTATGAACAGGTTACTCCTACAGAAAACAAGTTCAAATTATACTTTTAGATCCTACCACAATTTTCCCCAGGAAATGACCTCCTTCTAAATTATATACTCACATACTTGAAAATGAAAGCACAACTTGAAAAGCAAGGGTAAGAATGACAAGGTTAGGAAATAAAAAAGTTGTTTTAGTACCTTCTTTTTAAAGAGAGACTGTTCTCAAGTGTCTGTGGGTGTTTAATAGCTTCAAAGCACAGTTAAGAAAATATCATTATGGAGCTGAAAGTAGAGGACTGGACAGTGTCGCCACTTGATGCAGTCAGTGCTTCAGATGAAATAAACAGTCACAATCTAGAAGGGTCTCTTTTAAAAAAATTCCCATGCCCCTCACCTCCTTATCCAGGCTCAACAACACTCCTTCAAAATTTAAGCAAAACTTACCAAATAGAATTAAAGCAGCGATTTTTAACTCTTTTTAATCTTGTGGCACACATAAACTAATTACTAAAATTCTGCAGCACACAAAAAAGTATATCTTTTGCCTCTCTGACAAAATATAGATATAATGTTGATTCATTCACACCAGGTAGCTATTATTGTATTGGCTGTTGTCATTTTAAAAAAATTGAAAATCTAAGGAAAAGAGGTCAGTGTCCCTGACTACATAGTCAGGTATTGCATGTTTTAAAAATTCTTATGGCAGACCAGTGTGTCTCTAGTGGCACCCCATTGTGCTGAAGCACACCAGTTGAAAATCACCGAATTAAAAGACTTGACATTTTAGCTGATGAGACTCCCATTAGCTGGGGTGGGATGTGGTGTGATGGAAGGTGGTGATTGGCACCTGTGAGACTAGAACATGGAGTCCTGCTGGTGTGGGGGACAACACAGCAACATATTCCTTTTCCTTCTCTTTTTAAGAAGAATCACACGCTATCATCTAAGGTTAAGCAGAAAAGAGGAGGAGAAAGAAAGGAGGGATGATAGACTGATAACAACTTGGCATACTAGCCAAGTAGTAAGACAATCATGGGGAACAAAGGATGGAAAGGTTAATTACACAGAAGTATAGTGTCACTGCCCTAGGAAAGAGCTGGCTCTAAGAGGGTTACACCCAGTTTTGTCAAAGGCTGGACTTGGGGAAGTCTTAACCCTGATCTGTCAACAATATTGTGTGAAACCCACCTGTCGAGATGTGAAAACTTCATGCAACTGTTTCTGTTTGTGCAGCTGGTGTGGCTGGGGCTGAACGTCTTCCTCTTTGTCTGGTACTACCAGGTTTATGATGTTCCACCTAAGTTCTTTTACACTAGAAAACTTCTTGGGGTAAGTATAAGTCCATCTCATGCAATATTGCCTGGTTCACATTTTAAATCAAATATTCTTCTTCATATTCCTTTTAACATTTTCTGTAAATATTCTGACCAACCCAAATAGCACCATCAGCCTCACTCCCTCCATTGCAATTCCCTGGACAAGAGTTTTTAGGTCTTCTAGGGTGGGACAAACAAAAGTTCAGTAGGGGTTCCCACAGCATCCCTCCACTCCCAAAATCCACTGGACAAGTGTTTAATTTAAAGGAGAAATCTAATACTGGCTCTGGAATGGAAGGACAGGTTGGAGAGATGTTTCCAAGAGTGACACAGTTGGGACAAGTGGGACTTTTCATATTCTCTAAATCATCTGATTCCTGCCACTTCTGTGCATGGAAAGCTCTGCTCCTAGTCGCATGTTATAAAATGATCTTCTGGAAATATGAATCTCCCTACATATGGAGCCTTTGAAGGATTTTCCCAAGAGTCACATTTGTTGATTAGGCCAGCAGAGTGAAGGCCCCCAACATTCCTTGTGTCCGTTAGCATTGTCAGTTTTGTTGAACTGACAGGACTCCTCTTCATCACAGATGAAAATAATTACAACTATAGCTTCCCCTAGAGGATATTACTTGCTACATCATGCTGAAACCATGAATTCATTACTTAATAATAATACTAATTATAATATGTATTATAAATTATATGTATAAATAATTATATCATACTACATTATTATGGTTGTAGTTAACTTATTCAAGTTGATGCCAAGAAGGATGATTTCTCTTTGTTTTTCCCCTCCAAAATATGCAACTTTTTTAGGTATTTCAAAGAACAATTATAATGCCAAAGCATTATATCATACCATCTTAAGTTACTGCTGAGGTTAGTCTAATTGCTAAGAAAACTTCCTTTAAAAACCCCAGTTTCTATACTGAACTCTAATTAATGATATGCATGTATTTGGGGAGGGAAGTGAACTGATGTCTGCAATTTACTTTGAAATGCATGAAAAGTAAGGTGTGTTTATGGATGGATAGGGGGTGGGTATATAGATGAATAGATGGATAGATATGTGATAAAACAAGCATAGTAAAAATGTAAAAGGTAGAATATGGGAGATGGGTAAACAGTATTCAACATGAAATGATTTTAAATTCCTTTTATGTTTAAAAACTCTCATTAAAAAATGTTTGGGGGAGGGATAAGAGTCAGATTAAAACGAAAGGTCCCAGCAGGCTCTAAAGGTGAACCCTTGGCTCCGAAGGACCTTCTTTTCCATAGAACTTGATGTCCCTGGTGTGTGGGCCTCATGCTGGGAACCCTGGGGAATAGGGCAAGGTGTTGTGTGCTCACAGGTGTAACCCTAGCCCCTCTTCTGACCTTCTAGTCAGCACTGGCCTTGGCCAGGGCCCCTGCAGCCTGCCTCAATTTCAACTGCATGCTGATCCTGTTGCCCGTCTGTCGAAATCTGCTCTCCTTCCTCAGGGGTTCCAATGTGGTAAGAGCAAACATTTACAAAGTTTGAGTTCCTCAAAATTTCAAATGCCATCAAGCTAAATGCCCTTTCTTAGGAAAAGTAAACCAATGGTTTGTGAGGATTTCAACCTCTGTAGAATGAACCAAGCCATGCTTGATTCTGTAAGTGATTTCCATATTATTTGTTGATGAAGTTCCCAAGGACAACCATTTAACCTGAAACAGACATTAAAACAACAACAACCAATCAACCTATACCTCAGTAATAACAATAAAGCCCATGTGCATGCACACACAGAGACATACATATATAATATGTATGTATATGTATATAACTAGGGCTTTATGAGGCTGATGTGAAATTTGGGGATTAATCTTACAGTGCCACATTTTTCAAAGTCAGAGAAAATCTCTTTTGTAGATAACATCCCAAGCAGATGGAATTAATGGGCAATGAGTCTCACTATAATGAATGTGATTAAGAGGTGTTGTATCTGAGGAACTGAGGTGTTCAGAGCTTTCCAATTGCCCAGGGGTCCTCCTTTCACTTTAAAAAATAAATATGTTTTTATTGATTTTAGAGAGGGGAAGGGAGAGGGAAAGGGAGAGAGGGACAGAAACATTAATGAGAAACATCGATCAACTGCCTCTTGCATGCCCCTCATCAGGGATCGAGCCTGCAACTTAGTCATGTGCCCTGACAGGGACTCGAACCAATGACCTCTTGGTGCATGGGTCGATGCTCAAACACTGAGCTACACTGGCTGGGCTCCTTTCACTTTCAATTCAACAATTTCATGAGCCCCTGAATGTACTATGCTAGGAGAAAAAAAAAAAAAGGATTATGTAGAAAGAACTTTTGTAACCTATAAAATGGTATATGAATTTCTTATTGATATTATTATACAAAGATGAGAAACACGAAACTTAGAATCTACACATGGTACTCAAATAAATGGGTCCCACAAAACATAAATAAGGAGCTACAGTAAATCAAAGGAGAGGAAAATTATATCAGGTGGGCAGAAGATGAAGAGAGGCTTCTTGGTAGAAGGTGACATTAGATATAGGCATATAAGGATAAAATAAGCTTCTAGGAGATGTAAATAAGAGAAAAAGACATTCTACCTGGGGAACATGGCATCGGCAAAAGCATAGGAAATGGTTAGGAAATTGTATTCTTGAAGGCCCTGAGTAAGCATGACTTCTGTTTTCCCTTTGGACATTTTTGCCATTCCTGATCACACCAGAATAACTCTTCCAAAGTTAGGGATTGATATCCTGGTGGGACTTATTCTAGTAGCTCATGAGCGACTATTAGCCTCTGATTTTTCTCTTAATAAAATGTTTGTTTTTAATATTAACTAGCTCTTCTAAAAAAGATGACTTATTAAGTAGAGATAATTTCTAGAGGAGAGCAACAAGCAATCTACTTTGATGGGAATGTAGGGATTATAAAGGGCAGATATCTGAGATAGGGCCGATGTGGAAGCTGGAGCTTTGCTGGTAAACTAGGACCTTGAATGTATAGCTGAGGAGGTAATCACTAATTTGGCAATTATAGAATATTTTGGGGAAGGAAAGTGGTCTAAACTGTTAGTAACAAGGAGAACTCATCTTGAACTCTGCCTCATTTTTACTAGTCATACTAAATTCACATTGATCCTAAGGGGAATTTTTTTTCTTTAATTAACAATACAACACTCAATTTACTAATATAACATTAGTGGACAACAACTAATAGTAGACATTGATCACAAAGATTTTCAAATAATCTTTTCAATTGAAGAAACCATAGAGGTAAAACTATTTGCTTGAAAGTTTTATTGATGAGCCACCTGTAAAGTGCAATGTCTGATATACCGTAGGTACCAAGTGAACATTTGCTAAATGAATCTCATGCACTGTAGCTTTTTGTTTTTTAGAGACAAAATTCATTTTTATTCCCTCTGCCCCCTGTTCAAATACTGGTTATTTAGAGGAAGTAAACCCTGATAAATAGGCAGTGTTTTCACCAGGCTGACCCATTAGGAAATCCTTGTTACCCCACAGGCCCAAATTGCACTGCCGTTGAGCTTCCATGCCCCATGAGCGGTGCCTGTCGTAATGGCCGTTCATTTTAGGCTTCCTGTGGACCAGGAGGGAAAATTCTCATGAGGGTCTCTAAAGACAGAGACGGAATTAGACTATTCTTCAAATTGCAGAGAAGCTCAGCTCTGTAACCAGAAAGACCTGTATGTAAAATAATAAATTTTTAAAAATTAGCAGCAAGAAACATTATTTTACAGATGGGGTTTTCCCTCCTTCAGGGTTTCCTAGCCTTAAATGTGAACTTTGCAAATGAAATTTATTTTTCTGATTGGGATTAAAGTGAGTGAGCATGTTGTGACTAATGTTGGAAATCATAATAGTTGCCACTTATTGAGTCTTCATAGAAATCTACACATCAAGCCAGTGAGGTGAGGATGAAATTAGACAGGAGTGTTGGGATTCAAACCAAGGTCATTGTACCCCCAAAGCCTATTCACTTTCCTACATGCTGCCTAAACTCAAAACTGTCCTATTGTGGTATTATGGTCTTAGAAAGTCCATCATATATATGAATGATTGAGCATTCTGAATAATTTAGGCTAAAAGTGGTAAGGATGTTGTAATTTTAAGGATTCATTAGTAGGACACTATGCAAACTAAACAATCACAGAACTTCTGTTCTATTTCTAGTGGTTTTAATCATTTAAATTTTGCCCTATAATCCTTCTAGTGACCTGAAGAAAGAAATATGTAGGGTTGGCTCACCCCAACGAAGACTCATTCTGCTTTGTTGAGGAAAATGAGGAAGGATGGGGCTTAGCATACAGAAATTGCCAAAGAATTTCAAAATGATTTGTCAAGAAGTAGAAACGAAAACAGTGTGGCAAGTGTGGATGTGCGGGTAAATACATCTCTATAGGTTTAGAATAATCATCTTAGATTCTAGGACAGTGAAAATGTAATTCATGTAAACAAATAATTATTAAAGAATTTTTAAAAGTACATGACATATTGTTCTGCATACAAGAAGCTTCCCTTCTAGCTGGGGAACCATGCCATACTAAATGAGAAGTTAAATAATGATACAAAAAAGAAAATATTTATTAAACACCACTCAATGAACCTATGAAAAAGACCTAAAAGGGAAAAACTATGATAAATATATAGGTAAGGAAACTGGAAACTGACTCAATTGTTCAGTGTCTCACAGCTAGATGGTAGGGCTGGGATATAGCACAGGTGTATCTCATGGCAAAAGTTGCTCCCTGAAATGTAACTGTGCTGCTTTCTGACCCTACTTATTTTCATTCTCTCATTCGTAGAAGTCCAGCTGTGTTCCAGCATGCCAATAAGGACTGTATTGTCTTTTACCATGTAACAAATTTCCACAAACTCAGTGGCTTAAAACAATCCCAATATTTTAGCTCACAGTTCCGCAGGTCAGAATTTCATCTGTGGCTGGGTTCTCTGCTCAGGGTATCACAAAGCTGAAGTCAAGGTGTCAACTGGACTAAATTCTCATATGGAAACTGGGTAAAAAATCTTCCAAGCTCATTCTTGTTAGCAAAATTCAATTCCTTGCAGTTGCAGGACTGAGGTCCCTGTCTCCTCGCTGATGGTCATTCAGAGGCCGTTCTCAGATCCTATATTTCCCTCTGTTCCTTATTATGTGGCTCTATAACTGCAGATCCAGCTCACACTGGTCCTATCCTGTTTCCAACAAAACCCAGAACCAAAGTTTACACCACTTACGAACAACACTTGTGAATACCCCTTAAGAGTAACACTTGGGAACCTGTAACTGCTTCACCTAAACTCCGCCATGAAAACAAAGGATGAGGACATGACAGCGACCTGAATATAGAAGTGAAGGGTCCTTTGTCCAGAAAGATCTGATGCTGAAACCTCTTAAAGTCCCACCACAAACCCTGGATGGAGGAGCAAGATTTGAGCCTTGCCTCCTGTCTCCTTGCCAGTGGAGTCAAAGATAAAAGCCTTTTCTTTTCTCAAAAGCCAATACCATAGTATTGTCTTCTATGCACATTGGGCAGGGAGCCCCTGCTTGGTAACAGTCCCCTCCATTTTCAAGCCAGGAATAGTGCTTCAAACACTTCTCAAGCCTGTAATCTCGGACTTCTTCCAACCCTGACTTCTAGACCTAGATTTAAAGGGCTTTTGTGATTGGGACCCACCCAGATAATATCTCTCATAAGGTCAATTTGGGACTTTACCTCTGCAAAGTCCCTTTTGCCATATAATGTTACAAAATCAGAGGAGTGACATCCCATCATAGTCATAGGTCAGGTCCCACCCACACTCAAAGGGAGAATATTATACAAGTCATTGGGGATCATCTTAGACTTCGGCTTACCACAGGGACTCTAAGAAACAATTGGAAAATAGGGAAAAGATATTCACATAAAATTATATAGAACACAATGTAGTAAAACAAAGCACAAAACTTGAAATAAACACAAAAGACAATGAGGCGATAGAAGAAAACAAGGACAGCAGTCAATTTTTCACCAGGAAAAATGTAAAATAAGTGATTTCAAACAGGAAACTCTTGTTTTGAGAGCCTGAGTCACTGCTGAACTCTACTAGGGGACATTTCCTTGTAGCTGAAGCTGCGGGCACTCCACCCATATTCCGTCTACACTGACAGTTTCAGTACATGGGTAACTGCCTTCTGGAAACCCCATTCTCTGCCTGAGGATTTTCTTTCAGCCTGCTCTGGGTACAGCCCTCAGCCAGTGATAGATGGAAGTTGGTGGATGAGTATCAAGCTTCCTAACCCTTCAGGAAAAAGTAAAACAGAAAACAGAACCGTGGGGCCTGTTCTACACAGTCTCCCAGAGTTCCCTGATCAGAAAGTTGACTGATATACAATATGATAGGGGTAGTTGATATAACACACTCTTTATAGGTTTCCTTCCTTTCTCAGTCTTACTTCCCTAATCTCGCTTTCTGTGATCACCTTCCAGGTAGAGTACTTACAATTAAATTCTTGTCTTAGTTTTTTAGACAGGTAGAAGAAGAATAATTATATTTTTACGTTTGGTTTGGTGGAAAGGGGCATGAACCTTAAAGACAATTAGACTTGGATCCAAGGAACATGACAACTTTAGTTTTATCTTTAAAATGAGGACAATAGCCCGGCCGGCCGTGGCTCAGTGGTTGAGCATCGACCTAGGATCCAGGTGATTGGGGTTCGATTCCCGGTCAGGGCCCATGCCCGGGTTGTGGGCTCTATCAGTGACTTTCTTATCATTGATGATTCTATCTCTCTCTCTCCCTCTCCTTTCCTCTCTCTGAAATCAATAAAGATATATTTAAAAAAAAAATGAGGACAATAATACTTAGCTCATTATATTAAATGAGGTAATGACTATGCGTAACTTGCCTGGCTCACAGAAGCCCAATTCTGTTTTGCTTTTTCTGGAATCCTCAATGTCTTACTTACTAGTGTTTCTACAGTTCTAGGAATCTGCTGTCCTGATGCAAGTAGCCTGTCCTCCCTAGATGCAGCTAACTGAGAGAGAGTGGAGTAAACACAGTTTTTCATACAATTATATTTTTTCTAGAAAATCGGAGCATAATATATTAAACACCCCTATATTTAAATTGAATAATATGTTTAGAGCCAGATATTTATAATACCTAAGGTGTTGTTTTTTTGGAACTTCACTCTGCTCTCCTTAAGAGTTCTCTGAATCTCGATGACAGTATACATCTAGTTTCAGGAACAAAGCAGTCATAGTGAGCATTTGAGCAGTTTTCAGGAGGGCAAAGCTCTGATTCAAACATAACCCAGGTTGTTGTGTGTGTGTTTTTCTACTTTGGGCAATGGCCTGAATTCAGATTCAAGCCCATATCTTTTTATGTATGCTGTAAGGACAGTTACACCAATGTACTGACCAAAATACTATTTTTTATGTCAAGGTAATCATATAAGATATAAAATGTCAGAATATTGATATCTCTGGCATCAGACAGTCAGAATTTGAATACCAGCTCTGCCACTTATTAATGATGTGACCTAAGGCAAGGTAACCTCTCTATTCCTCTGTTTTCTCATCTGTTATGTAGTGATAATAATGGTACCTCCCTAATAGGATTGGTGTAAGAATGAAAAAAAAGCGATGCATGTAAAACACTTAAAGCAACTCCTTGCATATGCCCTTTGTAAATATTAGCTATTGTTATTTATGCTATTATTGTTTGGTTAACGAACTCCCCTTGTGATGTTGTCTCTATCAACATAGGCAGGTGGACTATTTTTTTCTCCTTGAAGGGTGTTGTTCTAAAACTATACACTTGTTCTAGAACTGTTTACTTGTCTGTGTCCCCATTATAATGTCAGGTTTTTTAGGGCAGGCCTGTCCTTTGTTAATTTTTATATCCTCTGTTTATTAAATCAATTAATCTGAACTAGAGACTATGTGGTTAGATATGTTTTCTATCCAAATTCATATTTTATACAATTAAGCAATGGATTCCAGTAGAAACTTTTTAGGCTACTAGTAAGGGAACATAAAACATATTGGTTAAGCCAGCTATGCCACTTACTGGTCCTTTGATATTGGGAAGATGACTACATCAATCTGAGCTTCAATTTTCTCATCTACCAAATGGGTAGAATGATACAGTTTTTAGGGCAGTTGTGAGAATAAATGAGATGATACGTATCTAATGGCTGGCACAGAGAAAGTGTCTTATTAACAATTACTATTTCATTATTTTCCCCTTAATCCAAAGTTCTGTTCAACAAGAATTCGAAGACAACTGGACAGGAACCTCACCTTTCATAAAATGGTGGCATGGATGATTGCACTTCACTCTGGTAAGTTTCTTAAGATATTTGAGATTACAAAGAAAACTTGGAACCAGATATTTCCCCCTATTTTAAATACTTTTTAAAATAAAAGGTCAGCTTTTATAGGCACATTAGGTGGTGATTAGGTATGTTGTATTTTTTAATGAGTTCTTTTAAAAAATATCCACCCCTCTATTCACCATCACAATATTATGATTTATTACTTCAGGTCTTAACACTTTTTTATCTTGGGCTCCTCTGGTAAAATCCCAGCATCTTCGCCTTTTTTATGCCCTTTTTAATATCAGAAATGTTGGTTAGTCCACATATGAGAGCTTTTATTCATTCATTTTAAAAATTCTTCTTTGAACATGTAGATTTGTGGATTTTTTGTAATAATCTTAGAGGAGCCACAGCCTATAGATTGAGAATCCCTTAAGATCAGAGTTTGTCAGCTAAACATTTTATTTATTATTATAATTTATATATATGTATATATACACATATAGGTAAACATGTGTTTATATGTATTATATACAATGTATTATTATTAGAATTATTAAGATGGTGGTGTTGGCACAAGAAGGGTTGTATCTGGCATGGCTACTGTGATTAATAATACTGTATTGCATACTGTATTTGTAAGTTGCTAAGGAAGTAGATCTTAAAAATTCCCTTAACAAAAAAATAATTCTGTAACTATGTGTGGTGAGGGATGTTTTTGCAACATATGCAACTATTGAATTACTATGTTATACACTTGAAGCTTATGTAATATAACTAAATTATACCCCAATTAAAAAGTGAAAAAAAAAAGAGAAGGGATGTGTCTGGGACCCTTATCAAATCTCCATTAGGTCACTTAATAAATAATTGGTGTGCTAGACAATAGATATGCACATATACACAGTGATGAACAAAACAGACTTTTACTCTGAGCTTAAGGAGTTTGTCCCTGAGTAAATAAGCTTAGATCACAGACGTTCAACTGGGTTTCTCATCTCTTACAAGTAGATCATGCAGGTTTTCCGAGCTGTGGCAAATGAAATATTTCAAAAGTGAAATGTATAAAAAGTGAAATATAGATAAAATCTTGTTAGAAAGCAACATAGTGTAACAGTTAAGAGCACAGATTTGTGGACCAAGCTGCTTGGATTTGATTCTTAACCCTGCTAATTATTAGCTTGGTGACCTTGGGCAAGATTTTAAAGAAATCTATGCCTCAGCTTTCTCATCTTTAAGATGAGATGATAATAATAGTATCTAAATCATTGACTCATAAGAATTAAGTAATTATAAAACACTTATAGCAGTGCTTGGCCTCTAGTAAGCCCTATGACAGTGCTTGTTAAACAAAGAATGCAATTTTTTAAAAAGAGATTCATTCTGATGACCATTGATTTGTATCAGTTCCATATAATTTTGTCATCTCTCTGGAGTAATGTCAGATAGTCCGGTGAATGGAACAGCCAAAGGTATATGTTACATGAGAGTCTTTTTGTTTGAGCATAAATATATCAGGGGAAGAGAGACAATGAGAGGACTTTTAAATATCCTCAGAGACCAAAGTTATTTTGTACAATCTTAGAACTTGGTTGAACCGTTAGGATTATGTAGTTCAACACCTTCGTTTTGCAAATTAGGAGACCGAGACCAGAGAGGTTAAGTGACCTGTCTATGCTCACACAACCAGAGAATAGCTGCCTTGCCTCTCTGGTCCTGAAGACCCAGTTTTTGTTTATAAGTGTACCGGGCCATCGGTGTATTTCCCTTTAACTTATCATAGAGTCAAGGGCTATAGGCAAACCCAACTTACAAGAAAATTTTTCACACCCTTCACCCTCTTTGTTTCCCTTCTCTGCCCTCTTTAGCGATTCACACCATTGCACATCTATTTAATGTGGAGTACTGTGTGAATGCCCGAGTCAACAATTCTGACCCCTACTCAATAGCACTGTCTGACATTGGAGATAAGCCTGGTGAAACTTACCTCAATTTTGCTCGAGAGAGAATCAAGGTAAGCCTCTTATTTCCTGATTCTGATGATGTTTCCTAGACCATTAAAACTGAGGACTAGATTTTAATGAGTGAAGAACTTCACTTGGCCAGAACAACAACAGTGACAAAAGTTGATTATGAGACTAATGAAGTCTGTAGGTTCTAAGAAAGTGCATACAGAGAAAATGTCTCTCACACTCTTCATCCCATGTGTAGAGGGTTACTAGGTGTTTATCAGTTCCTTAAGCTCACCTGAGAGAATGTGTGTGGGTGAAGCCTAGAGCAACTCAGGCTCACCCATGACAAGGCCCAACAGAAAACCAGGAACACACATTTAGACAAACAAAGTTGGATTCATTGCTTGCTGCAGCAAAAGAGACCTCACACCATGAGAAAATCTGAGGCATCTCAGTAGGATGTTAAGAGAGGCTTGTTGTAGAACCTGGGCTTGTGTTAGACGATCTGGGAGGGCATTAAGCAAGCAAGGATTTGCTCTGGATCAGGTATGGTCAGGAATTGGGAGTAGTTCTAGGATTGGGTATCCTTATATCTTTCTAGGAGGCACAAGGGGATAGAATAAGGCTAAATTTTTAATAAGTAAAGAAGCAGCAGTCACCCATGCTTTTATCTTGGTTCAGACATGGTTTTGAAGTGGTTTTGTTTATGTCTCAGCCTATTATAGTCACAGAATGATGCTGGTGTTCTATGAAATTGTTCATGTAATATAGGGAACACTCTGGTCTAGGAGTGAGTACCAGGTCAGCCACCAGCTGACAATTGTCAGTGATGCTTTTGTTGTTTCTTACCTACAAAATCTAAGGGGTAGCTTATGTCTGCTAATTGTCATTCCTTGAGATGCACAGTGCACTGGGGCACTTCTCAAGGGGCAGCCATTTGGGGTATCCAAGGGAAGAACTTCTTCCCTTCAAGCAGTTGTTGAAGCTTCCTGCACTTATAGGGAGATACTCAAAGTTGTCTTCATGTACCCAATGGCTTGGGAGAATGGCCAAATCACATCACTAGACGCCAAATTCCAAACATGTTTCCTTCTGTTTAGAAAAGATTACAGGAAAAGTCACTCAATTCTGAAGAAATAATTATCCTTGGGCTTGACATGCAAAAATTTCCTTGATCTACTTAGGGACAGAATTAAATAGCATCAGACACAACAGAAACTCTTTTTTTCTGTAATGTGTTGGATATTTTTCTCTTATATTGTTCATTGTTTTGTACAATGATATATAAGGGTGGCATTATGAACATATGAAGTAAGTGAGCCCACTTTTGTGTGTTCTTTCACTTTCAATAGCCCTGGGGCTGTTGGAGTCCCTTTGCCCACAAGCTCAGAGATCTAGAAAGGCCGGGATAGCTACCTTTCCTTGTGCAGCCCTTAACCAATAACTGATGGATGCAGACCATGAAAGCCCAGCTTTCTTGGTTTGAGTCAGGATAAACTCTGAGTTGTAACTTACCATCCACAGTTCCCCTGCAACATCAAGATGAAGCTACCCTCTATAAGACTTGGCCTGAGATCACCCTCTTACTTGACTTGTTCGTCTTTCCTGTCTTATTACCTATTCTCTTACCAGTTTCTTCTGAAGCACAACCTTTTCAATCACTTGCCCATGAGTCCCCATCTCAGGGTCTGCTTTGCAGAAATGCAGCCTAAGATGTGAGATATGCCCAGAATTTGCAAACGAAGCACTGTGGCCTTTTCCAAATCAAAGGGAGAAAGATCTTGAGCCTGCTTTAAGCCTTCTTATAGTAGACTGATTTCCTTTATTTGATACTCCCTTAGAACTATTTCAGTGTATCAATTCATATTTCCTATGATACCTCAACCACATAAGACTTTTTGAAATTGAGAAATAACTATTCCAAGTTCTATGAGGGATGATTAGGATTATGTAAAGAAGGAATGAAAATACCTATTGCCCTATACACTGGACACTTTATATATAGGTAGTCCTGCATTTGAAAGCCTACAAATAATGTGTGTATGTAATTGCTTTTTATAGAATCCTGAAGGAGGACTGTATGTGGCTGTGACGCGGTTGGCAGGCATCACTGGAATTGTCATCACACTGTGCCTCATATTAATTATCACCTCTTCCACCAAAACCATCCGGAGGTCTTACTTTGAAGTGTTTTGGTACACACACCATCTTTTTGTGATCTTCTTCATTGGTCTCGCCATCCATGGAGCTGAGTGAGTGTTTAAACTCCGGGGTCAAGTACTTCATGTCACACCTTCAGTTTCCAAGTGTGATGCTCTGTTAGAGGCATAGTGACCTCCTTGTCTCTGTGTGGTCAGCTGGTCTTCTGAGGGAATATGAGGGGACAACAGAAGTCAGTGTAATAGCAGAACTTTAGTTTCTTGCACCCAATTGATAGCTATTCACAGTGCAACTATTTATAGCAAGCTTGAAAATACATAAAAATTGGAGTATCTTTGCAAGCACATAAAACATGTTGAGAATGCTTACATGGTCTTGGATGTCAGCTATATTGTTTCCTGTGGCTTAATCACTAATGTATTAGACAAATCCCCAAACTAAAAGAGTTAACAACTAATCAGTTGAAAGGGTTTGCTGTAGTTCAATGAGTTTTGATTCAAGCCAATTATTTATTGATTGCCTGCTGTGTATGAGAACTGATCTCAGGCATTGTGAGGAATACTAGAAGGAAAAATACATGGTAATTGCCTTCAAGCATTCTAATATAATAGAAGTAAGAGCTAACATCTAGTGAGCACTTGTTAAATGTTCTTTTAACCCCCAAGAGTTAGAGATGCTCTTACTATCCCCATTTCCTGGGGAAATTATAGACAGAGAACCAGACTAAAAAAGGTAAAATATGTAGCCCAAGCCACCTAGTTTGTAAGTGGCACAGCTGGGATTGGAGCCTAGTTGGTCTAAGGCAACTCAGAGACACAGTGCCTGAACATGTGGTTGGAAGAGTTTGCCTTATTGAGAATCCTCTTGAATACCAGGTTTCTTTTTTCTACTGTTTCACACTAGAAAACACTGTGTGAAACACTGATTCTCCCACCTGCACACAAAAGTAGGTTTGGGGAGGTTCACTGGTGGAATAGGGCTTCATATAACTAAGGGTGGAGGAAGTAAGGCTCAAGGACTCTGCTCAGAGCAAGTCAGACTAGAAGTGGTCAAGTGAGTGTGAAAAGCGGAAGGTGGGGAAACCGTCATTGGGCAACCACTGATCAACTTGCTGACTCTGACCCCTGAGCTACTCTTTCTATGCACTGAAAAATCTGTGTAGAAAATGAATCTCTTGACTCTCCTAAAGCAATTGAGTATTTTAAGTTTTTAATATATATAATTTTATTTTATTTCTCTTAAAAAACACCTTAAAAATGAAGTGCACAACCAACCAAATTATGCCTTTATCATGTAAGAAAGAATCCTAAAACTAGAACTTCAATAACTTGCTCATCTTAAATGAACAGTTTTTCTTTGTCTTTTGTAATTTCAACCCTTATTTTATAACATCTTGCTCAGATTGCAAGATGCTCTTTGGGGGGATATTTTCTTTTTTTTGGTAATGAATTTCATTGATTTTTTTTATTATGCAAAGGGAATAGCTACCTTAAACTTCAGCTCTTCAAAGTGCAATTGAGTATCTTTAAATGGGACCTGATCATAATCCAGCTGTTTCAGAGAACCCTAGAGAGAGAAAAAACTGAATCCCCCCCCCCTTGTTTAATAATTCCACTACTGTACATTCGTGTAGTTTCATAGGTAAGCATTTTTCTTGGAACAGGCAGAGGTGTTGTATTTACCCATTCTCCATTTGGGGAGAATCTGCTACTTATATTGGTTGACTGATTGCTCACAGTCCCATGGCTAGGTAATAGCAGAACTGGGATTAAAATCCAGGCTCTCTGATTTCTGGTACTTGCATTGAGAAGAGAAGGAGAAAATCAGATTTTTTTTTTCTATTTCTTCCTCCCATGTGAACTTGGGCATTAAGAATTTAAATAGTGCCTGGCCAGCATGGCTCAGTGGTAGAGTGTTGACCTATGAACCAGGAGATCACAGTTTGATTCCTGGTCAGGACACATGCCAGGTTGCGGGTTTGATCCCCAGTAGGGGGCATCCAGGAGGCAGCCTATCAATGACCCTCATCACTGGTGTTTCTATCTCTCTCTCCCTGTCCCTTCCTCTCTCTGAAATCAATAAAAACATAAAATAAATAAATTAAATTAAGTAATTTTTTAAAAAAGAATTTAAATAGTTATCATTTGTTGGATGCTTACTTTGTACCTGGCATTTGTTATGAATCATGCCAGTTGATTATTAAAATAAATACTTGATGAGGTCCTAATATAGCTGTTTTATAGCTGAAGAAACTGAAGCTCAAAGAAGTTCAATGCCTTGCCCAAGTTCACCAAGCCAGTAAGGGGTGAACCTGGGATGTGAAACCAAAGCTATCTGGCTTGGGTCCAGAACTCTTTTCACCAGATCATTATGCTTCTAGTTACCTAGTTTCTCTAAGCCTCATTGTCCTCATATGTGAAATAGGAGTACTAATACTTACCTTTCAGGCTTGTTATGAGGATTAAGTGAGATAATTTGTATACAGTGCCTTTTCCAAGGCCTGGTGCATAATAGATGCTCAATACATGGTAATCTCGTCCCCGAGACCTAGGGATAGAAAAGGATGGTTAATGACCTTGAATTAAAACATTCTCAGAATATACCTAGTGGCACAATACATTTTAGGTCTCTAAACAAACTTCTACAAAGGACCTTCTGTTTTTCATTTTATTACATGTTCTGAAGACCCTGCTATTTATGTTTCTTGAGGTCAGGGACATGACTTACTCAACTTTATGCCTCCTTTTTTCTATTCCACTAAACTTGCATTATCTTAAGTTTTAGTAGTTGCTAAATTCGTATTTATTGAAGTGAATGGGCTCTGAGCACTTAAAGGGAGAAATCACTATTTTGTGTCTGTGAGAATGTCTTAATCTCCGCAAAATTAAGTCTTCTTAAATTGATCTCAACCTTTTGGTTTAATTTAGACAATTTTGAAACAACAAATAAAACACTTGTACTAAGCCCCATGGCTACCTTTTATGACTGTAGGGGTTGTCAACTACACAAGGATACCTGGCCAAGAGGAATAAAATTAACCCACATTCTGCTGGCCAAGGTCTTTGCCTGTAGGACTGTCCTCATAGAGGGAGCATCTTGTTCTAAATTGCACAAAGGCACTGTTTGGGTTAGCAGTTGCTTTGTTAGTTTGCAGTTTTTCTGTTTTTTGTTTATAAATGAAAATAATTCTAGAAACAGAAGCAAAAACACTCCCTTTAAGAAAACATGATTGATCCAAAACTTCCCCTCTATAAGGTTACATATAACTATTCTTTGTGCCACCGTATATAATTTTTTCTATTGCTGAAGATCATATATTTTCTTTCCCTTTCTTTAATCTATTTGGAGGGAGCAATAAGATATAACATTTTAGTGAAAAGTACAAGACCCATATTAGAATACTTAAAATATGCCCAGCCCTGGCTGGGTAGTTCAGTTGGTTGGAGGGTCGTCCCTTATATGAAAAGGTTTTGGGTTCAATTCCCAATCAGGGCACCTACCTAGGTTGCGGGTTTGATCCCTGGTCAGGGCATGTATAGGAGACAACAGGTGGATGTTACTCTCTCTCGCACGCACTCTCTCTCTCTCCCTCCCCCCCCCCTTGCTCTCTAAAATGAATAAAAACCTATCTTCAAGTAAGGATTGAAAAAAACAAATAAAATAATTTGCTTAATTTCCTGCTACTAAACGATCTGTATTTACATTTCCTCCCCAGGCGAATTGTACGTGGGCAGACTCCAAAGAGTTTGCTGGAGCACAACATAACATTATGTAGTAAAAACATCTCAGCTTGGGGAAAAACAAAGGACTGCCCAGTCCCACAGTTCTATGGCAACCCTCCTATGGTATGTACAGTTCATTGTTGCTATTACAGTTTCATTACCAAAATCTTCAAACCGTGTCTAAGAAATACGTCCAAATGTCATAGAGTTGTCCCTTATAAATGTCATGGAATTGCTAGAATGTTATAAGCATCTACTTTTTTTCCTACTAAACTTAGTAGAAAATTATTTCTTGAAGAGTAAGCTTTGCATTGGTCTTTGATGAACATCCTAGTATAAAACTTGGAAAAACATTGTTTTTGACAGTGCTCTTTGAATCAAGAAGTTCTATCTTTTCTCTTCTGGATGTGAAGGTCATAATAATGCCAATTAATGATTTTCAGAGGAATCCCACCATGAGCTGAGTTGGGTAGGTGAGAAAATCACCTATAAGGAGCTAGGAGCCTCTTCAGATACCGGGAAGTATCTGAAGAGGCTTCTATATAGCTTTTGGACCTGGGAAGGAAATCAATGAGGTGACACATAGGCTTACCTTTAGGCCTCGGGAGGTCCTGTCAATGAGGCATAAAAGAGGTTGGACAGCCAGGTTCATCCTAACATGCAAGGGCACTGCATGGCAGAGCAAGAGTGTGGCAAGGGTGACAAAAGGGAAACTTGCCGAAATGTTTACTTTCTTTTGTTGGGAGCTCTGAAAACTCCATTTTGTGTATTCTTTTTTTAAAAAAAACCACAACATATCTTTATTGATTTCAGAGAGGAAGGGAGAGGGAGAGAGGGATAGAAACATCAATGATGAGACAGTCATTGATCGGCTGCCTCCGGCATGCCTCTTATTGGGGATCGAACCCGCAACCCAGGTATGTGCCCTGACCGGGAATCGAACCGCAATCTCCTGGATCCTAGATCGATGCTCAACCACTGAGCCACGCCAGCCAGGCTTGTGTATTCTTAATATCTCTGCTCCGTAGAGTGAGAAGTGGGCCCTATGATGTTCATATTTTTCTCCCTTGGCAAGCAGTGTACTTTATTGGTTATTATGCTAGCCATGGGTATAAAGCTAGCCCAAAAATCCCCACAACATTTGTACAGGGCTTCTGAGCAGAAATATAATTTTTTTCTTAAGCAGAGTACACTATAATGGTAAATTTCCCATCCCATTTTCTCTTTTTTGTTTTCTTACTCTACTAATATAGGACTACTCTTCCTTTAGACACAGCGTGTACTTTGAGGACTCAACATCTTTAAACATCCTTGCTCATTAATAAAAGCAACCAGACACCTCAGTGAACTGTCCTCACTATATGCAGACATCAACAGGAAGGATAAAAAGAGAACTGTATTTCAGGTTCTCTTATAGGCTAGAAGGCACATTTCCTCGAAGGTGGCTGGAGTTAGAGTACTACTTCCTTAACAGGCATCTACCTCAGAGGAGCTTCTGGGTTTTGGAGGATGTTAGAGGCAATGTTCAAGGCCTAAGGCCATTCAATGGATCCCCATGGTGGCACCCAGGAAATAGATGGGTGATGCCAGGCTGTTTTAAAAACCTGTGCCATGAAAACAAAGGCCGTTAGCAGAACATTCTGACTTTTAGGGTAGATATTCTTCAACTATGGCTAGAGAGGGGAACATTTAGGTGATATTGCCTTCCAAAATTCTTTGCTACTTCAGGTATTGAACTAGGCGCTCTCAACTTCCAATAATAAGTTTCTGAAAAAAATTAATAGATCATATGTGAGACTGAGAAACACTTCATGGTTTTATTTTCTTCTTGAAATCCATTCTGGAATGTCATCTTTTAGATGGTATTGCCTTCTAAAATTCTTTACTACTTCAGGTATTAAACTAGGAACCTAACTTACTGAGTCCCAAGATGGATCTGTTTGACATAAATGTTTTTATATAGCCAACAGTGCTACAAGGTAATTCCAGTGTTCTGAAGCACCACAGATTCTGACAAGGAGGGAATCTAGAGAAATCTGAAAATCTTTCGGTTTAGCCCTATTTAGCAAGTGCATTGCATAGTCCCTAGGAACTTACAGGGATATTGGAGAAACAGTTAAATTCTTACATAAAATTTCTCATCTTGCAAAAGAATACATTTTGACTACATAACAATTGAAAGCATTTGCAATATTGCATTAAAAATATGGTGTTGCTGAAATACTAACCTTTAGAGAAATATTAATTCTGAAACCAACCTTGCTCTGCTGTAGGGTTATTGCAACTGCTATTGCAACACTAGGAGGAAATCCCATTCTTGTGCACAGTTCCTCTTTGGAAATTTTCATACTGTAGATACAGTTCCCCAATATGGCCTTGAAGAATGTTCATTTTTACTGGCTCAAACTTTTAATTTTAGATCTTTTCATGCATTCTGTTCTGGAAGACATTTACTAATCTAATATAAAATATTTTTAAAGCCTACAAAGATTAACTTGACTTCTAAAATGTTTTGTCCCCATGAATCTTTTATTAGCCATCACCCCTTCCCACATTCATTTTTTAATCTTTTGCTCTGATTACAGACTTGGAAATGGATAGTGGGTCCCATGTTCCTGTACCTCTGTGAGAGGCTTGTACGGTTTTGGCGATCTCAACAGAAGGTGGTCATCACCAAGGTATTGGCTGGTTTAGGAATCAGTAATAGAATCTAACTATAGCATGGAAAAGTCTACCCAAGTTCTCTATATCATTAGCCAGAGCTCTCTTTTACTGTTTCTTTTGATTAAATTTAGAGGGGAGAGATAACCTAGTTAATTTCAATGTACTTAGCTTGATAATCAAATGGTTGGGCCTTTTAACTGGGTAAACTAGAAGTTAACATTTTCTGTTGAAAATGTACCCAAATGTTTTGTGTAAATGAATGTGGTGTGTGTAAGTGTGTGTGTGTGTGTGTGTGTGTGTGTGTGTGTGTAGAGGGGAGGGACATAAAGTGATAATGTGATTAGTTAAGAGAGGAGAAGCAAGAGGTAAGTTCAAAAGGGCATACATTGAGCCTTAAAATATTCAGATGCCAAAAGAACCAAGGAACCAAGACCAGGTCTGGTTGAGGTTGAGATAGTTTCCCAGGTCCCCTTTATCTCCTTTTCTGTGCTTTGTATGTAGTCAGAGGCTACAAAATTAAAGTGCCCAAAGTCTCAAGCAAGTTATTAACTAAATTGCATCTAAAATTGAGTCTCCTAGCTCCAAGTATATAGTGGTTTTCTCCCCAACAATCTATGCGGCTTCTCATTATTAAATAAATAAATAGATACATAAATAAATAAATAAATAAATAAATAAATAAATAAATAAATAAAATCCAGTTAAATAAATAGAAATGGAAACTTCTTATTATAGTTGCAGGAAACACCAGACAAGACTATTTGTATCAAATAAAATTTAATTAAAGTTATTTCAGTTCAGAAAATATTTGCCAAAACCCTACTATGGGTTATTTTTGCAAAATACACAAATTCTTCCTGTCCTTCACCCTAACTTTTCTTTCTTGGCTACTATGGGAGGTCATAATAAAGACAGTCCATCTGACATTGGAAATCTGGAAATACAAAAAGCCACAAAAGTTCTCCTTTTATGATACTTATATCGTACTATAAGAAAAATACCACAGATCAGCAAAAAGAGCTATCTCAAAATTTCCCTTACTAGACTAGAACTGACTAACCAGACAAGTGTTTCCCTTAAACATATTTCTAAAGCAAACTTGTTTTTTGGTTTTTTTTGAAGAAAACAGATACTTGTTTTCTTCTCATATAAACACACATAAGAAACAAGGTATGTTCTATAAGTATTCCAGTGATAATACTGTTCCTTAATACATTTTATTTTATTAAATTCAATCTTAATTTTTTCCTGTGGTAGCAAAATTGCTATGTGGTAAAAATTGGTTTCACCATACAAAATTGCAACAAGGTGAACATAATTTTCAAAATAATTTTGATAAATTTTTATTTTCTGTTTTCAAAATGAAGCTTTTATAACTCTTTATTTCAGCAATAAAAGGAAGTTGGTTACAGCTTTATCATGTAAGATATATTTAAATCACAAATTTTTTAAATGTTTGGCAATTTTTATTAAAAGGACTTCCCATTCTATTCTTCCTCACTGGCGAAAAGAAAAGTTCAGCAAGATTAGTCAACATTAGGAAATTGCTGTTTTTTCTATTGATTTTTCTTTTCTTTTATATCCCTTGGTTTGTTTTTAGTTGTACATATGAAATCCTTCTAAGCTTTTCAGGCATCGTCAAAGAAACAATATCTTACTTACTGTATTGAAATGAAAGCTTTTAATTGTGTTCTAGTTTTTAATGTTTTTTAAAAATTTAACTTTATTGTTGAAAGTATTACAGATGTACCCTTCCCCCTTCCATTGATCCCCTCCACCTGGCATCCGC